ACAGCCAGTGACGCATACACCTACTGATTATACCATACAGAGGCACTGATCTGACATTAGTGTTAAAAATTCGGATCTTTTTGCTTGTGCTAAGTGCTGTATATCTCAAAACTGATTTCAGAGTAATTACTGTTTGTCTTGCTTCCACCACTCTGTCTGGCTTTCGCATTCTCATCAGATACTGTATGTTTAGATAAGTGCAAGAAGTGACTTCTTTTAGATTTGTTCTGTCTGTGATGACTGGCGCTTGTTGTTTGTTGTATATCTTCGTCACCTCTGTCTTCTGTATATTTACTTCAAGTCCTGTCTTCTCTACATCTTCTGTTAACTTCATAGTTTTCGCCCGTGAATGTTAGACTGTGTGAAATACGAGGCATAAACTGTCCTCAAAGTCCAGGTCTTCTGAGATATTTTTGTACGCCTAACGTATATCTGTCTTCTCATTTTCCACCATCTGCCGTAATACTGAACCCACTCCAAGAAGGAAAATTATTGGTGATTATATACAACCTTATCTCACTCTTGCTTTCACTTCGAAAGCTTCACTGAGCTCTCTATTGTGAATTATTTGGTATGTGGTATCATCAAAAAGCTAAGGTTTATTAGTTTTTATAGCACAGCACTCTGTTATGTTGGAACAGCTGACAAACTACCTCGTGGTCGACTTTGTAAAAGGCCTTTTTAAGGTCGATGAAGTCAGTGTAGAGAAGTGAGGGCTAATTTAGGTTCTGCTCGATGATGGCGCGTAATGTTGCTATTCGATCCGCGTGCAATCTGTTTTTTGTCAATAAGGCCTGTTCCTGGGTATCCTTCAGTCTTTTTACGAAGATGCAAATCGGCACTTTGTTTCAGGTGGTTAGCAGAACGGTAAGAAAGTGTTTCTTTCCATCCACAGCTACACTAGTGGCATGGGCATCTCCGCTAGGGTTTACGTGTCTGTACTCAATGCTTCTGGAAGAATTCTATCCAAATATTCATTCCATTTCTTGACTCGTTTACTAATAAAGTAGGAATTCATTGAAGAGATTCTAGAAACATCAGAAGAAGAGGATTCATGAAATCAGTACGTCATAAAATTATGTCGTGTACAATCGTTTGAATTAATTTCTGCACAGAAATTAATCTAATTTAGTGCATTTACACAACCTGTAATAGGTGATAAACTCGCTTAGTAAAGTGAATTTTGTTTTAGGTCAAGATGGTTGTAATAATCTAAATGTCAACGACTGACTATAATCACGCTGAATTTACTATCATTTTTATTTTATTCTCTTAGGTTCCGACTGAAAAATATGACTTCAGGCTTGAGCTTTGAAGTATCAACAGCAGTGATTTTTGTACGTGGTGGATTTGTAAGCCTCTTTCCCAACCTTCCCTCTTTACCGGATTTACTACTGGTCAAACAAGGTTTCAGAGTGTGTTGACCAGGGATGACGATGAAAATTAGGTTTAATTAAATCTTTAGTAATTAACTTTATAAACTATGCAGAATTGACGGAAAACCAATAGCTTTCGTATATGAAAGTTAATATCTTCTACATTTAAAAAAAAGTTAACTTTGATTGCCTTTCTCAGCATATACCATAGTGGCATGCTTGCTCTAAGCATTTCAAAACTCCATGCTGTTACAATCTGTTAGGTGAAAGGTTGTTGCTTTAAAACAAAACAACAGATAAGTGAAAAAGGGTACATGGAATAACCAAAAGACAGATTATTGTCTCAAATTGTTACAGTCAACATTCAAGCCTTAGGATAATAATAAATCACTGAAATTCCTCACTGTTTGTTATATGTTCATTCTAAAAGATGTGAATCTTTCATTCTGCTTTGAGCTCTTGTTGTTATTACTCGTCATCATGGCGTACTTTTACCCTAGATGAAATAAATATTCTGTCACTGATGAACATTTGCATCAGATTTCCAGTTCAGTCAATGTCTAATAGCAGTAAGACTGATCCTTAATGCATTATTCAGAAGCTAGTGTTTTTTTAAATTATCATTTCAGTTAGGGATGAAAAGGCAGCCAATCTGAACAGCTTATTTTCGCATTTCTCCAGAGATATAAATTATGCCATTTTTGTCAGTAAACTCGGTGTAAAAATAATGGCGGAATGTAAGGCAATGTGGTTATTGTATGACTGTTACACAGTCTTGCTAAACTTTAACACTTTTCTTCATCTTTACCATCAACAGTATTAGGAAATTAAAGAAAAAACAAACAAGTAGTTATCCTCCAACAAATACAGATTTCAGCAGTTCTTTTCTCCACTTTTAACTTTAATTGATTCATTTCAGACAAAAGTTTCAAAAGAATTTTTATATCCATTTATTTAACTCTTCGTGACCAAAATTTGAATGTACTCACTGACTTATAAGACAGTGACTTCAACTTCACTGAGGTCGCTTCCTTTCAATTAGTTTACTTGCTGACGATGTATAATAAAGAATGGCCATCCAGGAAATGGCTAGCGGTGTGATAGATAAAGTGTGAATTGAAACCAATAAATTCCGAGTACTTCAGCAACAGACACAGATAGCATTTGTGCTATAATATTTGCATATTGATTCGTGTTATCACACTCCCTTACAGGAAATCAAGTGAGGATAAATAATATGTCATAAGTAACGGAAAGCCTCAGGAATAGAATAATGTCATGATAGAGTTTGCACGATTCTCATGGAATAATTCGTAGATGCATTGGGAATCAATTGTGTACAATATCTTCTGAAGTTGTCAATATACCAGATTGTTCCTAGGGTGACTGTGTAAACCTTGAATTAGAGTGCTAGATAAACACTGACAGTGAATCAGGGTTATATCAGCCACTAACCAAAAGCGAAATCAGTAAGGATGCCGAAACATTTCATTCTGAAATATTTCAACAAGTAATTGCAAATGTGAACCTGCAAACAATATTTTTTGTAACGTGCAAGGTATGCTATAGACTCTCTCAGGTTATTCTTGAGTGTTTTAAGAAGACTGACAACAAAATTGTTCAGGTTAATTCAATGAAAAATCTGTGTGATATCTGAAAAAGGATGTGACGGTGCAAAATAAGACCAAAATGCATTTACAGTAAAAAAAATAAGCATTTAACGATGTACTTTATTAGAGGAACTAGCTATGAATACTTACACAACCAACTATTTTCTAGTGCAAACTCATTTGCTGAATGATGTCTAAACAGTGAGAAATCTTCACACGACCTGTCGATCAGTGCTGACAAAAATCGGCTTCGGTTAGTGTTGCGTGATCACAAAAAGGATTCCGCTTTACGTGGAAAATCTATAATGAAGTCTGCTTTCGGATTAGTCTTAACACTAATAATATTAATGTGATTACCTTATTTAATACTTCTGCCAATCTAATCTTAAGTACTTCCGGTTTCTGCAAATGATGCAACACTATCTGTTTCCTATGACTGCACTAACTATCGGTGGCATTAAATTAGTGCATTGAGAATGGAATAATTAACTAATAAAGTCTCTTGATGGGCTTGAAAACTTTATCAATAGACTTCATGTACTGTTACACGCTAAAATAAAAATTAGCTGCTCATATGTTGGCAAGTAGGATGAACCAGTAATCGAATGCATGTAATTTATTGTAAGCCTGAAAAGAGCAGGCCACACAAACGTTTTTGGAAGGAAAAATGAAACTTTATGACTAATAATAAATGTGAGATCATTATTTTTGTGAGCAGATGAACAAGGTACATATCTAAAATGGTTTCATTGATGTAATAATCTTACTCATGGAAATAATTATGTTCTACACTACGGTTTTGTTCCTTTGTTTCAGAACACATGTCAAAAATCCCTAACATAAAGTATATTCTGGGTGATAACAAAAAATTGTTATTCACTGTATCATGATTGTCGTGTGCTTCCAGTTTCTAGTAATATTCTTTTGCCAGATACCGGAGGAAAGTATTATACTAACAACTCCTTCTTTGAAAAACTTGAAAAGAAAGTGAAAACGATGAGGGGGAACAAATTGGAGCAAACAGAAATTTGTGAAGATAGTAATTACGTATCGTTCTGTTTTTCATTCATTGGGAAATACAAAAAGACCTCATAATGAATAGTTATTACATAGATTGGGCGAATGCACTCGGTAGCATGAGAAAAAGTATAATTCATATTTGCTTGAAGATTGACATCAAGTTAATTATTTCTCTTCATTATTATAAATGAATAAGAAATTGCCCCACTTATGTTGACCTCTGCGTTGTTTCTGCACAACGTTGTACTGGATTGATGCACTTGTCTAAGTATGCCAGCGCCAACCTTTAATCCTTATGTTCACTTGAATAAAGGTACTATACAACGGATTTTACTGAACGGTGATAAATATACCCTGGAGAATTCATCTTAAAGCATTTAGTTCAACACAAACTATCCTGATAAATGCGATGAAAATAAACAATCAATAAGTCAATACTTAGGTAATGGAAACCAGACTAAGTAGATGTTTCAAGTGTACACAGAGATTGCTACATGAAATTTTGAGATTCTGCATAACATTGCAAGCTACTGTTTTACACATCTTTTCTTTTCAGAGTTATCCATGTCTACAAAATGATTACTGGTAATGCAAGCGCTTGGAGATATGTTTAGAAATATTTGAAGAAATATTACTTTGTTATACAAGTTAACCTTAGTTATTCGCAACACACTTCAGAAAGTAAATATTAGTTGTTTTCGTCTACGGAAAAATACTACCTATGAGTACATTTCAGAACAAGCCTACGGTTCACTTATTTTCCATTAATATTATTATAACTGTTATGAAAAATTTAGCAAGTGACAGTACCGTGGTTGTATGTCAATAGAATATATAGTTAACCAAGATGGTGAAACAAAATACAATTGGTGTAAAGCTTCAGTGTTTTGTACACTCCGATTGACTGGTAACCCTCTATCAAAAATATTGGCCAAGGAATACACGTGTACACGTCATTGTGACCCAAAGAATAGAAAATTGAAACACCAATGGTGTACACAATTAACACATATTTATTTGTTTCAAAATAAACAGTAACATCATCAAAAGAAAATTACTCATCAGTCAATATATGCTCGATAAAGCAATGCATATCATCATAATTCAATGTGAATGTTTGAATAAATGCAATATTTGATAAAAATTAACAAGCCTATAAAATGTATTCATAAAAGTCCCATTACATATACATCTTGACATACTATAGGTGTACACAGTCAGTTTCATCAACAAATTAGAACTGATCAAACGACTCGGCATTCTCCAAAAGCTCATGGTATGCATTTTAATTAAAATAACACACGTAAATAAATGCAGAAGTAAAGACTTTCAGTGCTACTGAACTTCTGTAAAAAAAAACACAATATGGATTGATTGATGCCCCTTCAAATGTCACAGCGAATCAAACTAGAAAGTACTTGATTCAATATTGGACTGGTATGGCATTTATTTGTTTCTGTAAATGTCAGCATGCTACATAAAAATGGAGTAAAGTTAATTAGTACGCTTGAATAAGACAACACTGCATGGAACTAATAAAAGAGGAAACAAAAATCTGTCGAATAATATATATATATATATATATATATATATAGCACGAAAGAGGAGTAGGACAAAAACACAGACTAAAGCATAATATACACACATATGTTTAGATTTTAATACATTGAGGTACAAAATCTTATTGTGAACCTAGACAGAAATAGGAAATATAAAAGTGGGAGAGGGGATGTTGTCATTGCAACAAATACACATATGCAAAAGGTCAAGATACGTTGGAATAAATATTATTGCGGACAAGTGAATAATAGCAAAGAAGCTAGCATAGATATAAGAAATATTCTCTTTAGCTAGTGCAGAACAAGCGTAAACAGACTGATTCGTGAAACAAAACAAACAAAAAATAATTATAGAAAACAAATCAACTGAGTAAAAAGCTAGACAGATGAGTTTGTGTGCATGTGTTTATGGAAAGGCAGTCATATCGGAGACAACAACAAAAGTAATACATATTCAAGGAGTAAAACAATTATCATCGAAAGCCCGACTGTATCAAAGTAAATAATTGTTTAATTGATATATGAAAAAATAAACCGAATTTAAGTTGATCAATTATGCGGTTGGACTGGAAATAGACAATTCAGCCTCATCAATTCTTAGGTAACAACGGAACTGTTTATTGGTTTTTATACAAAAGTAAAACTAGCAGTATCATTTTGAGTAGAAAAAGTTGAGGAAGAAAATCAGGAAAGTATAAAGTACTGGTGAATAGAAAGATTGTCAGCTCGTTTATTGTGACTAGTATTTAAATTTATTTACTGATGAGTACTTGATAAATAATAAAATTTTCTAAGCGCTCATTTACTTTTCATAGTTGTGAATTTCTCAACTGATTATCTCGATTACAATTAGAACTTATCAAAACAGAAGTTTACATATGCTGGAGAATCTGAGTTTATGCTGATATAATCTGTAGTTATACTTCTAGTACGTATTCCGGATTCACATAAGAGAATCCAGCAAATTCAGTCTGATCCAAATTCATGATAAATAATTTGTCTGTTGGTGTTAATTTAGGCGCTTCTTTGGTAAACTCAGCATCAAAATTTGTCACATCTCGTTTGTTCTTCTACAATATTCAAAAGATAAAGTTTCGACATTTTCATTTACAAGATGAACATTATATTAAAAATCAACAGGACTTTCGGTTAACTGGTAAGTTTCAAGGACAGACATTTGTTTTTTGAATGTACATTATACATACATATATAAAACCAGTGTGTGGTCAGTTAGAATAAGTGAAAGTTGATCAGTGAGTATTCTAAACATTTCTACAAGTATGCAAAAAAATGCAGTTTAAAGCCCATCTAAAGTTGAGTTAACTGAATTAATCTGATAATCTATGCAGCTATCTCGATTTTCAGTTATGTTCATTCAACTGTATATTATTCTACTGGAAAATTAATGAAAAACGGATACCGATAAATAGTCATATGAACAGTGGATTCAATAAGACCTTATTCTTTTCATGAGTCAGTGCACCTACTTATTTAAACTTTGTCAGTTAAATAGGAAGAAAGGTAGTCTTCTTAGGTTAGAAAATAATGTTCACTAGGCATGAGAACGGAATGCAATTAATTATTCTGTGCACTTGAAACCGCCCTATATAATCACGAATGCACTGATATTTACCTTTTCCCAGCTGACGTTCTTCTTTGTTACCTACTAATTATCTGTGAAGCAGATATGATTGCATTATTCACTTTTCAGTATATCGGTGATCAACTAATCACCTCTCGAGTGGTTTTTCAAAGAAAGTTGGACTTAGAATATCTCATTTATTCACTCACCACAAGCCTAACACAAATTAAGTACATCAATTTTTCGATAGTCTACAAAGTTCTACGTTACTTTTACCATTGTGTCAGCTTGTGTGTCGATTGGCACTAAAATGATCTTGAAAACAAACGACTATCACCTACAAATGTAATTTTTACCAGATACAAATCAGCTGATGGCTGCTTTATAAGCTTTCCCATTACTTAAAACCTCTGGAAATACCGGTGTAACAGACAATTATTTTAATTAACATAAATCACAGAAGTGTGCTTGAAGAAATGACACCTACTGTGAAAATTGACAGAATGAACACATAACACCAGAGTTTAAGATAAGTAAAAATGAACCTATTTCTCTGTAGTATATAAATACGCTTAGTAGTTCGAAAAACACGGAGGGCTTGTCATACTGTACACAAAAAACCTTTTTAAATGAATGTTCCAGCAAATACCATAGAAATACACTTAATCAAAACAATCAATTTTAATTTTACACATTTATATAAATAAGCAGAAATGAGTCTCTATAGACTAAAGATAATAAATTTTAGAAACCTACTGGTTTCTGGAGTCCACATTTAGATTACATAAACTTCTCTGACAATCTTTAGGAAATGTTGAAGCATACTACTGTAAAGATGATATATACATATATATGCCAACTGGCAAAATATCCCTCTTCTTTATCTTGACTTCGTATTCCACCACTTTATACTGAAATATATAATAGAACTGTAATAATTCCAACGACCGAAGTCACTCAAACCAACCAAAAAGTTTTAAACTGATTTATTTTTATGAGATCGAAGTGGAATAGGCAGTGTATGCATGCTTCAATCGAATGGTTAAAGCAAAACAGATTTTTATCCACAGAAAATTTCCATTATTCAACAATTATAGAATCAACAGGACAGTTTAAAGGTAAAAAGCTAGAAGGCCTCTTTCATTCTAGCTGACAAAAAAGCCCCACCTTACGACTACTTCCTAGTGGCGCTTATTATTCAAATTCAGCAGCATGATTTCTAACTCTTACTCGGAAATTCATTTATAAACCTAGATAAATAGGCCTGAAAAAAATATTTCTGAATATAAACTTACAATGCGAGGTTTAAACGGTGGTTGAATCTCCAAGTTGGACAGTTTATGCCAGTCGATACGGCGATAAAACTGGTGTTCCCGTATATCTCGTTCTCCATTTGGCCCACACCCAAGTCTTTCTTTAGGATTGCGTACAAGTAGCTAATAAGAGAATTTAAAACCAAGCTTAAATAAAATACAAAAATATACAAACTGGTTAAGAGATATCTAGATATACACAAATACCTTAGATAAGTCTTTATACTGAAGCATGTTATAATATTAATCTGCATTAATCTTCTGTAAAGTTATTTACAATTCAATCCTAAAGAGCAGAGAAAACATATTCTGTGAAATATATTATAATATTTCAAAGTAGTCAATAAAAGAATTATGACAGCAACGGCAAGTCGGTAACCAGATATACGGATTATATTTACTCTCTTTGATGCATAACAGAACTCACGAAAAACGATCATTTATTATACTTGATATTTTCATAAGCTGACTGAATAAATTTGTCTAGCAAAGAACGCCTTGAAATGAAGAAATATCATAAATAAGTGTACAAGGGATTTACGACTGGTCAAATACTCTTGGTCAGTCGGGCATAATTCCAATAAAAGCATCTAATAACTGAATTAACCCGAATTGAAATGCACATCACAAAGTGAGCTCTAATTTTCCTAAATAAAGTACAAGTAGAGTGAGCACAGATTGTTCACACTTTTGTATGATAACAGTTCAGTCTTCAGAAGTCCCCAATAAACAAACAAATCTTATCTTTAAACCTCTTCCCCAAATCATAATGTGTCATTCTGTAAACAACATCCATCAAATCTCTCAAAATTTGATTGATGTGAGAAAATAACAAGTGAAACTAAGGCTTTTGTCATAGATACAGAAAATACAATCACTCCGTAATAAATATACATTTTTATTCAACTATAATTTCAGGACAGCTGTACGTGTGTGTATCAGTGCACAACCTAAATTTAGGTCACTCAAAGAACTACGGAATGCAAACAACTGATGTACACTGATGATTATGCATATTTCAATGCGTGACGTTGCTTCAAATGACAACAAATGTATGATATGTAGCTACTTCAGATTGTAGCAGGCTGAGCAACATCGTGACAATCTCTCGGTGCTTTCAACTATTCCGGGAAATTATTTTAGTACGAAATCCTTCTCCCTTTTCTTCCTTTCCGTGAATCTATCTCAAAGATCTCACTGAACCTGTACGACATCAAGAAAATTTCCTATAAAAGTTTTGACAACAGCCTTTTTGTGCAGCAGTTACACTGGACTACATATCCCAATTATACATATTTGTTAGTTCAAGGAGAACAGTACTCTTCCCAGGTGCTTGTGAACTGATGGTTCATATACGCTTCACACTGAAGAAAATGTACTTCAGTGAACACCAGTTTCCAGGTGTTCCAAACCACTGTCATACAAAGCTGCCTTTGTCAATGATTTATGACGATTTATTTCATTTAGTCAAAATAACTTTACACTGTCTGTGAATGCTTAAAAATCAGGTAAATGAAGTTGGTTAACTTTACCGAACTGATAGATTTGAAGTTAACTTGCATTCTACACCATGAAAGCATGGAAAGATATCATGAGATACTGGAGATTTATTCCTTGCATAATACTCAAAATTGTTCGGTCTGGACACACTATGGACTTCAATTCCATTGCTTTCATGATATTACACAGTCAACCCAACAAATCTTGAAGTCAACAAATATTGCTAAGTTATTCATTAACAGCTTAGTGCCGTCACTCAAATTCCGTTAAAAACATAACCACGAGTGCTAACCTGTCTCCCACGTGAAGTATAAACTCAGAATGAAGGGGAGAGATTCCACCGACACGTGAACTTATATTAAAAATACTCGAAACTGACATTCTCGGTTCAGCTATGTCACGTTCGAATTTTATGCCAACCTTCCTCTGAATCATACCAATCAAGGAAGTATCAAATTTATCTGTCTACAATGGCATAATGCTCTTAATCAATATCAACAATATTTTCCATTTTAGTATAGTGACTTCTACCGAGGACAAAATTCTAAATATATCTGAAAATAAACTACTGATATGGTAAATTCAGTATACTGATCATACCGATAGATAAAAGCTGTCGGAGGAGAACAATTAAGATGCATTGAATGAATATCCTGAAAAACGGAGCATCCTTCACGCTGCTACTTAAAGAAAACAGCTGTCTTTAATAATATCTTTCAGTATGAAAAGCTTTCTGAACAATAACGGAAACATCACTACCTTCTTAAACAACACTATCAGAGCAACGTCTGAATATATATATATATATATATATATATATATATATATATAATGCACTAACGTCAACTTACACCACGGCAAAGCATACAAGCTTCTCTTGACATATGTCGGGGGTAAGTGACATCTTGTGATGCAATATTTCGAAATAATTCCTCCTCATCTTCACCATCGAACGGTGGCTGAAAATGAAGACAATACAGAAGAATGAAACGTTGCCTATCATAAATATCTGGTCTTTGAACGGTGCAAATGTATAAAAATATCTGATTGTATATTTTTGAAAACACGTCCTCAAGATTATTCAATGGAAACACTTATCTAATTTTCAAAATACTTTGAGGATACGCTAAAGACATTCTTGTAATAAAATACCACTACTTCCGTGACACTCTACATGTTAATCAACGATTCCACATATTAATGATATTCCCCAAAATTAAGGGGAATGAAATGTGTTCCACCCTAAAAACTTTTTCTTCTTCTGGTTCGTACATACGCTTCGTTGTAAGACATGGCTTCACTGAAAGAGGTACTTGATTTGCACAAATAAAGTCATACAGGGAAACCAAGTTTTCACCCAATATAATCATATTTGAAGGTGATCACAACGTACAGTTTTATCACTTCATGCGGAAAGAAATCAACGTCAAGCAAAAATGCCTACAGATAATAAATGCAAGCAGGCATCATTGATTGATAAAGCAAAGCATTACATCAGTTCGCGTTACTACATTCTAAGGAGGCATAACAAATAAGAAAACATAAATACTGAAATACGCACACATCAGTGTGATCTAGAGAATAATTGATTTGCTGATATTTAGGGCAGATGTGATGTACGGTTAGCCATCGAAAGACATCTACTGTACAGTAACTCACCTCATCCAACTTTACGGTCGAAACATGGCCTTGAACGCGAAAGAGATGAAAAGATTAGCTGTTTTCACCCATAGGCTTCTGCATTTAATCTAATGTGTCAGGCGAAGCAATATGGTGATTAATAAGCATGTTTAGCGTAGTGTCAGGTAAGGGAGGAAAGCTGATTGATTAGTTCGTAATAACTTGGATATTAGTTACGCTTGCCAAGCTACGATCTTCTGTGGTGAGCAGTGTCAGCTGAATTAGGATAGAATAAAAGGTGATCAACCTGTAACATTGCACCAACCCTTGAAGTGGTTGACTGCTATTTTGAGTCATTTGTGGAAGAGCAAACCGTTTAACTGGAGCCCTTGGTATGCTAAGGATCAATGGCTGGAGATAGTTAATGGCGTGGCTCGAAATCAGTCACAGTGGCACAAAAGCATTCTTGAATTTCATCTTCCAGATCCTGAAAACTCACACCAGTTTTTGTTTAGTTGTTACTTCTCGCATACATTTTCATTCATTATAATTGCATCACATGTCCTTCCACAAATCTTATGTAAACTTACCCTAAGTGTGTCAGTTTGATTAAAAACAATCTGTACAAAGTTAAACACTAAATAGCAGGTATTTCTATATGTAGAAGCTTCCAGTTGTAAGTCGTCTATGGATTCACTCGTATGACATTTGAAATAACCAGCATTTCAATGGCTAAGCATTTTAAATCCTTTTAAGTTCAGTTAGGTTATGCGTAACTGATGAGCGATGACTTAAAGTTCTACAACCATAGATAAGAAATGAAGTGGCTGACATCAGTCAATAGATTTACTATGATGCCAATAGATGCTTCAATCGAATCACTTGAAATAAATTCAAATTGTCTCCGGTTTAAATAGAGGGAAAATGTTCAAAATGTTAAAGTGATCTGGTTGGTCAACCCTGAGTTAAAAATGGTTGAAGGCAGAAGTTGGAAACTGAGATGAATGTTCACTAACTTCCAGCCAAAACCGTCATCAAAAGGACTGAAATACTTCTCAATATTGCGTGCAAATATACAGTAAGAATATTTGGCATTTCTGCGCTAAAATTATAATTAAAGCTTTTTTCGAATTTTAGGGGGACATAATCAGAATTACAATATTATATGAAAGTGAATTTTCGAAGAAAACTAACTCTATATAACTTACTAGCAAAAGCAAAAAATTTCCTAGAAAACTGTTTCGAGTACCAATGAAAGGTATATGTGATAAATACCATAAATATATATATATATATAAATTAATGAAGTAGTTAAATTCATAAGTCACTTCACATACCAAACCGGCAAGCATCTCATAGATCAGTACGCCGAACGACCACCAATCGACCGATTTACCGTACATTTCATAAGCGACAATCTAATGAAAAGATAATTACGAGAGACTTTAAAACTTGAATAATAAGCATGAAGATTCCAGTAACTCTGAAGACTAAAACGTATAACTGAACTAAGATTAATACTATGACAACTACTCTTCAGATGCGTTTTATTCACTTTCAGTAGATACAGTATTCACCACTATGTAAAATTTGTCATTAAACATGTAACAAATATTTTGCACAGCGTACACTAGACTATTCAGTTTTTTCAAGCAGTGATTCAAATTTGACTTTAGTGTCAAGAATTAGGCATAGTATAAATATTGTTTTCAGTATGTGTTTAATGAGCTTATGAAATAAAAGCAAAAATCCAGTAAAGAAACCAGTTCACAACAAATACTAAAAGGTTTGATTTCCTTCTGTTTGTCTAACTAAAGTCACTTTATCATGAAGTAGAGTGGAGTCATTGAGCATATGGAGAAGTTTAGTAAGACACTGAAATATATTTCATATTTTCCTGACAACTTTATTTTCATTTGGAGTAATGAAAACATCATATAAAGAGAAAATGTGCCTTCATATACCACAGTCTCTGTACGGTGGACATGTGAAACGATCCAGAGAGAAGACCTGAGTGTAAAAAACGATTAGATCGCTGAATCAGTCTCACTCTTCATATATAACCATTTATGGTCTGTATGAGATCACTCTAATTCTTGCATTCACATATCTGAATACACTACACGTCAGACACAGAAAACACCAACCCATCCCTTAACTATATAACCAGGTACTATGGCACAAACGATTTACTTAGATGAGGTCAGCTAACTCATACCTAATTCATCATTTATTTTTTATTCCTTTGCGTTCCTAGTGAACTTTAAGGCTTTAAGCCTGAGCTTTAAAGTTTCATTAGCAGTGGCGTTTCTTTAAACAGGGTGGAGTTGCTAGCTTCACGCTCAACCTTTCCCCTTTACTAGTCCTACTATCCGCTATGCGAGGTTTACAAGTGCATTGGCTGAGAATCGAACCCCAGAACAAGTATGTGGTTGACGAGTGTTCTACCGCTGAACCACAGACACAAATTATCATTAGGCTAGTATCAATTCCAATGTTTAAAAGTCACTTTTCCTTTACACTTATCATCAGCATATCATCTAGAAGAAGTTTTGTGCCACATCAACATTATAATTGAGTTTCTGATTTCCATTTATTATTATTATTTTATTTAACCATAGAAAGAAAATGAATACCACTGGAGTATTATCTAGGTCAAGAAGACAAAATAGAAGTTCGAACGAAGTCCTGGTATCACAAAAAAGAAATGAAGCATACAGCTGGAAAAATGTGTAGACGAACCGTCTAGACATTTCATTTCAAAAATTTCACTTCTAGCTCCAGTTTAAGAAACCTGAACTTTATAATCACTACTTTTATTTACGAATGGCTTCAGTGTGCCTAAATCATGTAACCAGCCGTGCTGCTTTGAATTACTTCATCATTGATAATTGCATAGTCAAACATCTTCTTGAAAGCCGACGCATAAAATCTGGTCACAACATTGTCGACGTATTAAATCCTAATGAAATGCTTCAGACTACATTGACATAAAATACAAGATGGAAAAATGAACTCTGTGACCTCTAGGACAATATTTGTCATCAAATTCAAAACTTCACAGGAACTTCAAACTCAAAGACCACATTAATTAGTACACTAGTTTTCAAATAAGATCGGAATTCATCTAAAGAGTAAGACAAGAAATCCTTTCATTGCAGAAGGTACAAACTTTGGAAACTCTGCGAGAGCAGTTCCCGGATACTTGTGTCATTTACTTATTTCCCTGAGTGGTATTCCAAGTGAGATTTCTTGTCCGTTACCTATATCCAACTACATCATTTTATAATGTACTCACCAAAACTGCCATAAATGTATTATTTTAATGTGATTTTTTCGGCTTTCTGAACACAGTATTTCCAAGTAAAATAATTCAAATTATCTGTGTAGGTAGTTTCATCTCATAAACAATCCAAAATAAATCCTGATTATACGATGCATGAATTTCTTCCCAAACTACTGGAAACAATGTTATTTGAGAGTTTTCACTTCTTAACATGACAAAAGTACTGAAAGAGTAAGAGATCTTAGGCAAATAGGGAGAATGTTCAACGCAAAACATTATGTATTATATTGCCCCATAACTGATCAATATGCTGTGAATACAAGTAGCTTTTTAAGTCTCCTTTGTAATCATTGGACAGTCTTTTTCGAAAATTAATAGATTCTTACCAGAGTATGCACTTGGTTGGATCATATTGCAACTATCGATATATAAAGCATTACTGCCTTAAAATCAAACAAAGTACAACTAAAAAAAATGTATCAGCATTCGCATACAGAATTACACAAACAGAACTCCAATGAGCACTAACCATATAGGCAGATAAAGTAACGGTAACACTTACTTCAGGTGCAATATAATCAGGAGTACCACAAAATGTACGAGTCTTTTTGTCATCAAATATGCCCTCTTTACACATGCCAAAATCAGCTATTTTTATGTGACCTTCACTGTCCAACAGAATATTATCTAGTTTAAGATCCCTTCAAAAAAAGAATGGAAAAAGAAAAGGTGAGAGTTGTGTGCACCACACATATCAGTTGCAGATTCTTTAAAGGAAACAAAACAATGACAATACTGTGTACGTGTGGTGAAACATAATAAAAATACCAACAATAACGGTACGAACTACTATGATATTCCTATAATATACGACCTACATCGCTTATGGACAATGATTAATTTGATGCTGATATCACTGATATATCAAAATGAACTAGAAATACATTTAGAATACGATACTTTGGATGAAAAAAGATGAATAGAAATGGTTGAATAAAGCCTAAAGTGTCAGTACCCTGCCTTGGAATTTTCCCACTCAACTGACGAATGTGATTCAATTATCTAAAGCAATTGCTGTTAGTAGGAGGGTTCAAGCAACCACACGGGTAAATTTAGGTTGAATGTAGAAAAGAACAATAAAATGATGTCGAAAGTGTATCGCGACTTACTCTATGTTTAACAGTTAATAACATATTTTCAAAGTTTAAATATTCTCTAAAATCTCGGTAATGAAATGGGAAAACAGTAGATTATTATAAATGAAGCTAAAGACAATGATTGCGTGACTAATTATACGAGGATAGGCATACAGTTAAAAGAACACCAATAATCAATGTAAATTTTATTGGATGCAGTGGTTCTCAAATACAGATGGTCAACAACCGTCTAGGAATAAAGTTATAAGTTCAAAATATAACAAGATAAGAGTACGAACTAAAATATGCAGTTACACTGAATAAAATATGTCATGATATATTGTTTTGCTTAAATTAAGAATATGTTTCCCCTCATTATTGAACTTTCGAGAAAACATTATAATCAGTGGAAAAAGAAATCCGAAGGAGAGTTGATACACGTACTCGTTATTTCACTCACCTATATATTATTCCATGATTGTGTAAGTAGAATAAACCCAATGCAATCTCGGCTGAATAAAATCTAAAAAGATAAAAACATAAAAAAATAGTATACATCATTAAATGGAGTCCATGGTTAAGTTCACAAAAAATCAACATCAAACCAATTTATTCGGTAGAAAATCATCGAAATGATTAAAGCGATTCCAATTAATCGAATGAGAAATATTTCACAGGGATATTGGCAACATCTAGTTGTGATTTAAATACTCAATTAAAGTCTACTCATATCACACTCATGAAATTAGCAATCTAGTTCAAATCCAAACCTAGTCACCTATTAACATCAAAATGCAGGGCGAATGATGACAACATATAAAGCATATATATGAACCATAACGGATGAATAGTAACTGTTTTTAAAAGCAAACACAAAAGTACTTTCTTGTAGGGTAAAACCTTTTCACTGTTTTAAATGTGTATGGGAGCAGGCGGAGGGGGCATTGGGAAACTAACAATCATAATGCATGAATGAATGGATGAAAGTTTGACCTGCATAGGTAGATAAGATTGATGAAGTTGATAGTGTTGATTATATTAACATGATACTTTTATTATTCCAGTCAGGTTAAATAAGTCAATATGAAGAAATGAAAGCGTTTGGTTACACACGCACATATATGTACACTACCCACAATTTGAACAAGATGCCCTGAAATGTACAGTTAGATTTTGAAATGAGGGGTGAATAATCGAATAGGCGATAGTAGGCGTTTGTCGAACACAAATTTGTGAAACAGTTAAAATGTAGGCCAATTTAGAAGCGGATTTAGAATGTGGGCAGAGAAGAAGAAATGTGGAATAAACTTTTGGATTGTCGGAGAGAGAACACACTCTATAAATCGATGTACACAATGATTGAGGTAGAAAGTAGTTATCTGTCCTATATTACAAATCACGTGACAAAATCTGTTTGGATTTAATCAAGTAATTTTCGATGATGTAATAATAATATATACGAAAAAAAATCTAAGTATGGGAGCTTATGTAAGCTAATGTGAAACGAGAACATAATCCTTGGGAAGATTAAATTTTAGAACACTACAAGTAAATCATAATAACTAGCATAATTTGACTACCATAAAATAACGTTGATACACATTATTTATTTATTTCAAAAGCTATTTTTTCAAAACAACAGATGGATGCACATTATTTGAACAGATCTCATTAGAATACCCATAAGCATGCGAAGTAGTGTGTACAATAACTCAGTTCATCTAGACAAAAGTATTTGGAGCATTATGAGAACTATAAATCTCAAAATAAATGATACGGAGAATCCGAGATGCATACCCCTTCCTGTTTGCACATTTCAGCTGCTTTTCTCAAACAAACTGAAACAATTTGTATACTCTTTGAGAAGGATAGGAGAAAAGCATGGAACAATCAGTCAACATCAATGATTCTTAACAAGCAGCTAGGCTGATTATCAAAATGCATATTGTTATTATGGCTTCATCACTACAAATGCATTCACTACTAGGCAGTCATGGCCTACAAATATAGAAAGCATGGTGTAGTTTCAGCATGTATTCGCACAGCATTGTTCGTGTGTCAATGCGTTGTCGGCTAGGCGTTGAGTAATAAGCATGTTATCATAGCATATGGTAGGTTTATGAATTTACAACCAGTTAAGTGGTTTAGACATGTACGCAGTCTAATCAGTAACTATCTGTCTGGACAAATGAAGGAAATTAGATTGTGTGAAAGCCTAGTTTATTTGAATCAGGATATGTTTTCAGTCGATAGAGTAGATAACGGTTGACCTGGTCTCTGTAGAGAAATGGATTCTGTTTAGTCGCTGCCGTTATTTTGTACAGATTATCTCATTGAGGAACCTCTGTAATATGATTTTAAAGTGATCACAATACTGTCCATATGTTAACTTCAGCATTTTTATTTTCTGCTTTTAATAAAGAAGTTTCTATTTTGTTTCATTATCATTGTATTTCTTTTCATTTCTGCACTCTATTACCTAACGATAAGTATTTAAAAAGTCATAAATCACTATTTCCTAAGTTAAGGTATCGAAATTTGGTACATATGTGGGGCAGTGTAAAAAAGAGTAAAAACCATTATCAAAAAATAAAGATAGAAGAAGAAACGAAATACTGGGAAACTTCACTCATATACGTTAAAGTTTCCGTTTATTCTAAATTATGACGAATAAATAAATTTGAAGTGTTGAGTAATAGTGAAACTTATGATCAATAATGATACCAATCCTTTAAGACATACACAGCAACAGGTTCTTTAAATTTCCCCTCTTGCTGAATACGATGCATAAGATCTCCACCATTCACATATTCCATTACAAGGTACAACCGATCCTGTAAAACAAAAGAATGTTTACACAAAAAGTATGTACAAAGGTTTATTGAAAAGGATATCAATGAGTATTTATAAATATTTTCGTTTTTGACATTATAATCCAATGGATGTGTATGTGAAAAAATGTTCAGTGTAACAAAGGTTCGAATATATATCAGTTTCTAAAGTCAGAAGACTTCTTTTAATATTTCTCACACATATTGAATAAACAGTTAGAACAAATAGCTTTAAAAATGGACGTGTCATGTTTTTGATGATTAGAGCTGTTTAATCTTCTCAGGTGATGTCAAATTCGACTGGAGCACTTGTGTTAATTGATAAAAATAAATTAGTACTGATTCAAGTAACAAGCTATGACCTTTACTAAAGCTCAGGGTATCGTTATTATTATTCCTTTGGGTTCCGAGTGGAATATAGGGCTTCAACAACACATCTCTACCTTGTTTTATCTTCTGCCGTCCTCTTCAGCTGGGTCTACGATTGCCTATAATCTCTCATCTCCCCCTCCCCACACGACCTTCTCCATGTCAACGTAGGGCGACCCACTCGTTGCTTTTCATTTCGATTCCACTGAAACGATATCCTGGCGAGCGATTTCATTTAAAAGCCTCCTCAATATATGCCCAATCGATCTGCCTTTTCTCCTACATATTTGTTGAGTGATCGACTCTTGGTTGGTTTGTTCCACAGAAGGGTTTCTTGTTGCTAATTCCTTCTGGCCGAACGGCCAGCCATTTGATCTTCTGTATGGAGCCAGCGAAGACAGCTGATGACAGAACTCTGTAACTCCTTGGAAATGCTTTTCGTGATACTCAGTACAAGCTTCTCATACGTCTAGGAAAACTGACTGACTTCACATTAGTATTGAAAATCCTATTCTTTTTCTTTATGCGGCGAGGTGCAGAAGATTTTCAAACTGGTTTCAGTTTGATGAAGACGTATCTTGCCTTTCCGATCCTCCCTGGCTGGCTCTGACATCTCATCTGTTCCGAGTGCCTCTTGTTCGAACCAACCATACTAGATAAGTGAAGGCAGGAAGTAACCTCTGTCAGATCTCTCCTGTTGGTAGTGATTAATGCTGGTTGTTGTTGTTTTTTTTGATTATCTTCATCACCCCCGTATATTCTATGTTCGCCTGGAGTCCTGTCTTCGCTGACAGCGTGTTCTGCCAGTTTGTTGCTTTTCTCTTGCAAGTCTTCGAGTTTGTGTGAGATTAGACATATATCATCTAAATGTGAAATCCAGATATTCTAGAGTCCTCTTGTCGATGGTCCAGCAAATTCCTGTCTTCTTGCTCCCGTGCACAGTCTGACGCATAATCCAGTCAGTCCACCACAATTAAGAATATTACCGTTGGTGATAATAGGCAGCCAGCTTTTCTTAGTCTTGTATTCACTTCGAGCAACTCCATGAGTTTTTCGTTATGGATCACCTGATAAGTTCTATTGTCATATGGCCGGCTGTTGAATGAGGTTGATAAAGGCTTGGGCACTAAACACCGTAGTGTTGAAGTAGTTTCAAATTACTTAGCGGTCAACAATGTCTGTAGATGGCCTTTTCGAAGAAGCTGAAGGTGAGGTGGAGGTTTGACTTCTATTCTTTACTTTGTTCGATGACGATGAGTAGAGTTGCAATTTGATCAGCACATAATTTACCTTTCCTGAATCCAGCTTGTTCAGGTAAGGCTGGAGGAATTCTGCATCCAGTGAGTCTTTTATTCTCTCCGGGATGATCCGACTCAGTATTTTTTATATGCTTGGCGTGGACAAGGGCACTATTCCACGCCAGTTCTTGCAGAGGTTTAAGTGGACCTTGTTCGGTAGCTTGACAAGGTAGCCAGCCTTTACTCCAGTCTGCAGGATCTTTTTCTTCATTCCAAGAATTTATTTTTATTTTATTTTATCATAGCTTGATTCCGCACAGTATTTTGGTACAAGTATGAAATTTTCAGCATGTGATGTCGGTAGCCCAAATTTAGCAGGCCGACCATAGATATCAGGTGTGCGTCGGCGGGGGATTGAACCTCGAACCATGTGCATGGTCGGCGAGAGTTCCAACCGCTGTGCCACTGACGCACCGGTGCTATAATGGCATGAGCATATCTGCTGCTACTGGCCTTCAGTAGCTTGACTGCATTCAGGATTTCTGCTTTCGTTGGAAGATTGCTGTTCACTGGCAGGCACTTCTGTGCGTACTGTTCATGATGGTGTATTCCTGGGTGAGTTGCAGGTGGTAGTCCATTCAAGAGTTCCTTGAAGTGATAATCCCATTCTTTTATTTCTTTCTCTACCTTGGTAATCAGGTTCCCTTTAATATCGTTTGTTGCTTTCATCATCTGCCTTGATCCCTTCCCGGATAGAGACCTGGTTATCTGATATAATGTGCTGAGGTCTCTTTTACCTGCCTGGGGCTTATCTTTCCTGCTTCACTTGCCACCAGCCAGTGTGTTGTAGAACTGTCTTTTGTCTTATTGATATAAATATAGAACACGAGCACTGTGGTAGAGTATAACTCCATTAAAGATAAGATTTTATTTTGCTAAATCACACAGTGTTGTAAAGTAATATTAACTGATGACGTTTCGAGCACAAAGTATTGCTCATAATCATATCAAGTCATTCACACAACTTTTGTCTTTCCTAACACCCCTCTTCACTTTTCTAATTAGTGCAGTATACATTGAAATTAGCTTCTCTTTCTGTTGTTCATCTTTGCATTGAATCATCTTTTCTTTCGTCACCCTCCTCTCCTCAATTAGCTTTCAGGTAGGTGTCTATTGAGAGCCATTCCTCGTCTTGTATCTTCTCTCTTCATAAAACAATTTTACACGTTTCCTTGAACATCACCTTCAGAGAGTTCCAAGGCTCTCCCACGCAGGGTTCCTCAGTGATACCACGAAGTGTCTCTGACTTTCCTCTGATCTGATATGTAGTGAAGGCATCCCTTGTAGTTTCGTTCTTTAGTTTCTGAATGTTTAAATTGAATTGTGGTCTGTCTCCAGTTGTTCTGGAGGATTTTAGCTTCACCTTGAAGGCTCACTGAACTAAATTATGGTCTCAGTCCACATCTGCTCCTCTTCTCGACTTTGTGTTCAGTAGACTGTGTCTCCTCTTCCTTAAGCAGCATTGATTTGAAGTCTATCTGTTTTGTGGTGTGTCCTTCAGGCGAAATCCATGCTGCTTTGTGTACATCCTTGTGCTTTTACACGCTGCCTGCGATCATCAGATCACTGAAACCACAGGAGTCTGTGAAGAGTTCTTCATTGTCATTCACTTCTCCAAGGAAGAGAGCCTCTTGACCCATGAGGAGTTAGTTTGCTTCCTGTATTGTCTATTACCAGTTTAGTTGATATTCTTACCGCCCATTAGGATTTTGATGTCACCATTTGGGATGTTGTCCGTTACTGTTTGTAGCTGTTTCTTGTTCCGCATTTTTTGTAGCACTGTACGTAGAATTGGATCATTGTAAACTTCCTTCCTGCCTTTTGAGTTGAATCTTGGCGTCATAATCCTGAAAGAGATTGGTTCCCACTGCATACGGGCTTTGTTTGCCACTGGTGATACCATGGTAGCTACTCACTACCTCAGCATGCTCGTGGTTGTCGTCTGGGTGACTGGAGTAGATTACTGACTCACCAGCTGACAATTTTGGCAGTCCATCTCTACTTGCAGATTCTCAACACTTCTATGCAATATCTTCGCATTTCTTAGGGTACCCGGGCAGCTCTTCCTGCCTTGTACATGGTAGGGACATCCCACATCGACTACTGACTGCTTTCCCGAAGCCTTTCACAAGCTCTCTGTGTCATTTCGCCTCTCCAATTCCTGCAAAGAATTATTTTATTTGAATTTTTTGTATTTTTAATATAGCAGTTTGATTGTTTTTGTGGTGTGGGTTCGCTAGCCCCACATCCAGGCCTCCCTCTTTGCCCAGGCTTGAAACTGGCTAGAAAACTAGCAAGTTGGTAAACTAGACGAGTTTCAAGGTATCATTAGCTCCCCTAAATCGAAATTTTCAGAGTATGACTGAATTCAAGGACCACAAGTTGGAAGTCAATGAATCTGAGATCACATCACGTTCACCAGAGACCAGTAAGCAGGACCTAAACAAAACACCGTTCTCGATGTTAAAACTAAGGGAGTAATAGACTTTTTTAACCGCTTTTCATTAGAAAGGATTATATAATTAACTAGAAACGAAATAGATGCGTATACAATAAACAACCAGAATTACAGCTTTGCATAAACGATAAATACGCAATTACTCCATCATCTTACACTTAGAAAAAACTCAAGTTTTATCCCGAGTTTATTCAACACTGTTTTTCCTTATGCCAATATGCTTTAAGCACTTGATCTATAGTTTATGTTACGAGGTGACAGGGAGTTTATGTTGAATTCACCTAATGCCTGATAAATATGGATGAAATGAAGATGAGTTAACAGAAACGTCATTTTAGACGAATGCATACGAATATGACTCTTACATTGAAAGCTGTACAGCTGTACACAAAACTTTTCTATATACAAAGAAATAAGTTATGAATTATGAATAATGTTGTTCAGTAATAGTTAGGCAACTAATTAACTAACAGGTATTAGTAATTCTTTAGGAAATTATTATAAACAGTATTAAAAATAACTTACCATAGACTGGAAACATGAATGTAGGCGTACAAGAAAAGGGGATTTGTTGGGTAGTGCAAGTACTCTACGCTCTGTCATGGCACATTCAACGTCATCATCCTGCAGAATAACGTCTTTTTTCAGGATTTTCACAGCAAAGAGCTCATCCATGTGCTTTTGCTCAGCCAGAACAACCTTGAAATACAATAACAGTGAACATCTTGAGGTATCGTATTATTATTTTTATTACAGAGGTAAGTCACTCGTTTAAACACTAGACAGAAGTATCAACTGTTAAACAGCTTCACTCTAATATGGAACCATATCAAAATATAACTCTTTGTTCACCTTGCAACGAGTAACTTGCCTCTAATTCAGCAGCTTGAAATCAAATATTTAGAAATGTTTCTCGATTGTAGTCAGCGCTTGATATATGATACTAATAATTCAAGTTACCAGTAGATCCCTTTCATGCTATTTGACTAGATAGATTTCAGAAGCTGCAGATAACCATTATACTACTTAAAAGTCATTCATTGAGGAGAATATCTGATTAGCTCTTTTCTGAAAAGAAAACTTTAAAGGCAAGTATGGTCCAGTGTAACTGCAGAACTTGGCCATTGTGATAGAATGTAATTCCATATTACATAAGTTCATTTCAAATATCACACAGTAATGCAGTGTTAATAAATGGATGACGTTTCAAGCACAATTTATTACTCATAACCAATTCAGTCGGTTACACGGCTTCCGAATTTGCTTTATATATGTATTTCTCTCTCTCCCACACACTCTCTCTATTCCTCTTGTTGTTTGTTCTAGTGCAACTGCCGCTGAAGACAGGAAAAGCAGACTATCCTTGCCAATTCTTCTACCCCAGACCTTCGCGTGATGTTAGTTTAGGAAGCAGTCTCCAGATAAGTGATTCTCTTGAGTGAAGAGAAATCAAGTCATACTAGTAGTTCGATAAAATATGTGACTTATTATACTTTTAAGCATATAACTGACCACAAGAATCTACATCAAATGCCAAAAGATGCATAAGATTGGCTTAAGTTACGTTTAGTTGATCACAATCATAACAACTGAACTCTATGCATGCAAGCGAAGCATACAATAAGGATAAATATCAGTATTGAAAAAGATCCGTTAGGTCCTTCAAAAATTGCATGAAACGTCTTGGGAATATGATTAAAAAACGAAATTTCTGATTTGAAATCCTAAGGCAAAATGTTTGAGTTGACTGCCATAATATCTCCTAGAGTGAGGAAAAACACACTAAAACGAACGTCTATTGAAGAATGTGTGAATAAGGCAGAGTTGAGGATGAAAGGTGAGCACACATCTCTATTTTTCCTACCGTTGGACAACTGATTCTTTTTGCGCTTTTATTTGTTCTTTTACCACCAGCCGCATAAGACAGAACCCCTTTATCAATAAATACAAAAGAACACTGAAGTGAATTAGTTAGACCTCTCTCGAATACTCCAAGAACAACAATTTAAATCTTCTTATGAATTCTGAAAGATATCCGCCTGGATTGAATTCGCAACACTGTCAGGTATGATAACCTAACTGAATAAAAACACTTCCAGTCAGCTTTTAAGGCTACATTGAATTAAGCAAGAACGACAAATGTACCAGGATAATCTCAGCTCATGTTTTTATTTTTTATTACTTCGTGGACTCTTCTCAACTGGTTACAACCTGAACAATATCAAAATTATAAATTAAATTAAACATCTGAACATACTGTTTTACAATGATAGGGAGTAACAGATTGGAACTGAGAGTAACATTGATCAGGAATGATGTGAGTTTTTAAATTATTATTATTAATTTAAAAACTCACATCATTCCTGATCAATGTTACTCTCAGTTCCAATCTGTTACTCCCTATCATTGTAAAACAGTATGTTCAGATGTTTAATTTAATTTATAATTTTGATATTGTTCAGGTTGTAACCAGTTGAGAAGAGTCCACGAAGTAATAAAAAATAAAAACATGAGCTGAGATTATCTTGATACATTTGTCGTTCTTGTTTTATCCAAATTTGATTGAATGAAGTTTTTAAAGCTACACTGTCTGAAAACATCTTAAACTCAATGATCTTGCTAAAGTATATATAACTAATGTACAGTTTACACATGCGGAGTGAATATGGTAATACCACTATTCCTTGAAATAACTCTAAAATACGACTGCCTCAGAATTGTCTCATGAAATCTAGAGAGAGGTTTGTCAAAATTTTAAACAGAGGAAACACCAAAAATGCCAGGGAATTCTTAGAAGCCTGGTACTCAAGCAAATTTGCGATTAACAAACATATTAATCTAGACCAAATCTACCAACTAATGAAAAGTAAATCATATGACGAGAAAGTTTCAAATCCAACTCAATAAAAAACGATCAATACAAATGTAAATCGACTACCAATCACGAAGATGATTACCAGGAGACGCAACTCTATCATTCATAGAGAATTCAAATCAGTTCATTTTATGCTAAGACTTGGGCTAGAGATGTTGTCCAGAAGGACGACGAAAGCTCCTCAGTTAAACCAGCTCAGAGAACAACTAATTGGAAATTATTTGATGTATAAAGTGGTATTCAAAAACATTTCTAGAACATTTTTTTAATAGACTGATACCTAGTTTGGACGATTTCGTGCAAAATACAAAATTTTTACCCATACACACAATACAGTAATTACAAAACTTTATTTGAAACAAAACGACGAGGTCACCTTTCCAAAACTGCCTTTTCCCAAGACAACCAGAAAATTGAAGTCACTTGGTCTAGGAATATCAGGCTTGTGCTGTGAGGTCATAGATGCATGAGAAATTCTGTTCCGATTGTTAGCCAAATTTAAGTGTTCTGTAGACATGCGCTGTAGCAAGAAGACAAATTCAAAGTAATTATCGTTAAAGTAAATTAATATGAATTTGACTGAGCCGAATATCAAGTTGGGGAGAAATATATGATAAAAACAAAAAAGAATTGACGACGGTAAAATAAAAATTGAGATCAGGATATTCAGTGAGTAGTTCCCAATCGCAAGTAAACTAGCATGATGACGATTCGGTATTTTAGCTAAAAACATAGTTCCATATCTGTTTAGCTGGACACTATGGATTCTTTGTGATTATTATTATTTTGTTTCCTTTGGTTTCTAGAGGAACATAGGACTCCAGCCACACGTCTCCATTGCGTTCGGTTCTCTGCCAACGTTTTCACCTGCCTCCACAACTGTCCACATGCTTTCATCTACTCTTCACATTACCTCCTCCATGTCACCCTCGCACGGACGAGCAACTCGTCGCTTCCTGTTCGGGTTTCACTCGAGAGCCTGTCGTGTGATGTCACTTGATGGCTTTCTCAGAGAATCGCCAATCGAAAAGCGCGTCAAGATCCATTCTTTGTGATCATGAATTATAAATTCTCAGGAAATATTTAGCGGAATACTGATAAGAATTCAAAAAAAAAAATACTATACTTTTATTATAAATCCCCACAGTCGTAGAATTGAAGCTTATCCAATCATACCCAGTGGATAGAGATGTTATCAGGCCTAAGTGAGATCTAAAATCACAGGTGATCACTTTGAAAGCAATGCACAGTAATGAACAGTCCTTTCAGTGCTCTTGATAAGTGTGTGTACATTTATTTCGACAACGCTGTTCTTAAATTACTTCACTTCTATTTCCTTTAGATTGTTGTTGAATTATTCCATTGTGTGAGGTGAATTTCTTAGTGCCCATATTGTACCAATTTTGTGTGTGAAATAAATAAATTTAGAAGTGAACATAGCGACCATTTGGCAAATTTTACACTTTACCTTTTGTTAACATTCTGTGGTTTTAGGCAAAATCACACAATCAGCTTCGCTGGGTGGCTAGATGCTTAATTTATGTGTGAACAATTATACTGTGCAATGTACACACAAAAACAGAAAAGTTCACTATCATTTATAGTGTGTGTACGGTCGTCAGATTAACAGCACAAATAACGAGTAGTTGGAATAGTGGACAAACTAAACTTTCACCACAGTAATACTGTAGTGAACAACCACAGCTTTAATATATATATATATATATATATATGGTGTAATAACCTTCATTGTAAAAGTAAGGAAAATTTAACTTAAAACAACTGTTACTCTGACCAGTTAAGATTATCCACACTACTGCTGCGGTAAGGCTGGCACCCTACCCAATCTGAATTACCACGTTCACTCTTCTGATCTCAGGAATCGTATGAGAACTTTATCATCCTAGATGTAGGATACATAGAACCAATTAATAAAACAAATGAATGAAAGTTTTCAATACTAAGTGTTTTTCTGATTTACGGAGAATAGGTTAGTAAATTTTGGCTTGTAAAACGACAAAATCTATGTCCCCTGTGCTGAAATCATCATAGAATGCGATAATAAATTGAGATTTACATCATTACGTTCAGTGAGGAGAGGTGACTAGCATAACCTGAAGTTTTAAAAGTCAAGTAACATCAAGTGATTCGTTAAGCCTATGCGGAAATATGTAACTAGATGATAACGTATAGCATTCAGATAGTGCTGTTATACTTCACCTGACAAAATCGTGGATCTTACTGAGATGAGATTGCACAAGCCTACAAACTCTGAGAAAGAAAGAAATTGGGTTTCATTGCAAGACATGATCAAATAAAGTTTACCAGAAGAATAATTCACTATGATTTACGAAACAGTAATGAGAAATTCTCTCCAATCCTAAGGTACAAAACGACTAAGATAAACTCAAAGAGATTATACTAAATGAATTAAAATGGATGACATTAAAAATAACTTTTAGCAGATCATAAAGGTAGATTATAATGGAACATCAGATAAATGGATTATTTAAAGAACACTTGGATAGTAAAGTGGTATTATGATTACCATTCATTTATTCCGCTGCAACTTATCACTGAAGATGAAAATATATCTTATGAACATAGATTAGAAAGCATATAACTTAAAAAATATCAAAGACTTTAGACAAATGAAGTGTTATATTAAAATGAGATTAAGATGTTGAAAAATGCAGAAAACAGACATTCTTAGTTAGAAGAACTACGACTAACACATACACTCAATTCCAGGATTCGAAGGGCAATGTTCAAATATAACCGAATCAGCAGTATCTTTTAGTGATAAAATTTATAATCTCAATTTGCAGCAGAAAATATTAATCAGAAGAGCAGGGTTGATAAAAAAAACGTAAAAACAGTAGTCCTTGTCAATTCTATCCAAACTGACTTTTCGTCCTATACATTTAATAAAAACACTCATCAAAAGAACCTTTTTTAAAACAGTACAACTGAGTGTAGGGTTGTATGAAATGTCCATTAACTGGCTAGACGAAAATCAGTAAATAAGTTCTGGAAACACACTGAAGGTTCATGATAGTCAACACACACAAACAAATAACAACACATCATTTACGCGTATAACTTTAAGTGACAAATTTTCATTCAAATTTTCACTGACAACAACTGACATATCATCACACCATCTGCTTCTTTAGTCTTGTAACCATAAGAACAACTCTCAAACTTACTGCCGCTTTTTTACTCAAAATAAACCAATTGATACTGTTGACGAAAATATCTAACAAGTATTACTTTTCTGAAGTCAACAGTGACAACAATATCAAACAATCTGATCTTCATCGTATACAATTTTGACTAAATAAAAATACTATTTTAAACCAACCCCATTTCACCCGACAGTTTGTCATACACTAAAATAAAGTTAATTGGAGACATTTTTAATACTAGCTAAACACGAGACTTAATGGATTTCAACTGCTTAGTCGCTAAACACGTTGTTGATTTGTGACGAATTAACTGGAATTTCATTTTCGACAATTTAAAAAAAACTGTAATTTAACTTTTTAGAGGGTTTGAGAAATGAGAAGAAAAGAGTAAGTCAGTTGCATGATGAGAATGACTAATGAATCTTAATTCCGTAGTACATTATGCTCAGCTCGAAACACATTAAGTGTCAGCCATAAGAAGGGATGATTCAGGTATGGTATGAATATCAAATGTAAAGGTCAATAATTTCAAATCCCAGTTGAAACATATAGAACAAACTACTAGGCTGGATAATTGTCTTCTCTACTCATAAATGAAAACAAAAACTTTTTATTAGTTCGACAAAAAATAAGGCAAAAGTGGTACTTTTGATAAGAAGAATGTTATATATACATATATATATATATGTATATATATCCTAACAGAATCGTATAGCTCACTAAATACCACGTTTGAAGTGTATAAGTGATCTTGAAAGGTTGACAAACCTTAATTATGACGTCAAAATCACCTCTCCACTATGTATGAAATACTATGGAATTAATTCAAAACTAAATAATGCAATACTCTGGAGATTCGGAGGACAGTTGTACTACAATTCTATCTTCTAATATGAAAATAGTTTCCGTAATTTCCTTAGGCGAAACCATTAAATAGACTTAAAAACCAAATATCTTTACATAAGTTGTATTAAGAATGTCATTTCATCTGTTCACTTGGGTGAATATCGCAATTATCAACTAAGGTTTCAACTCTGGAACTCATTCAAGAATTTGTCACTTTATGCATTCAAACAACCAAACAGCCAGATAAATATTTACAGACATTTATTACTCAGGCTGAAGACCCTTGTTTGATAACAGTAATTGGTAACAGTTCTAACTATCCAGTATAGAGTAAACACAACTAACCTCCATACGTTTACGTAATTCCAATACAGCTGTGCCGGCTTCATCGATACATGGAAGGGAATAGAATTCTCCTTCCTCTTGGTTTAACAGCTTATACCATGAAGATACAGGTTCTTTAATGATCTCACTGACACCAAAGGAAAATGAACCCATAAAATCATTTCTTGAAGTACGATCCCAATCCCAAACTTCGATTGAAAGACGTTTGGAATGATCTTCATTTGATATCCCACTAAAAGCGAATAAATAATTGGAATGGAAAGAAATAATTGTTTCCATTCATCAACATAATGCAAGCATCAAAGTTAGCAAAACTGTGGACCAGAATCAATCGAGATAAACAAAACATTTAATTGAAGTACTGAACCGCAGAATTAATAGTATCTTGAAAATTAGGCTGAAAAAGGAATGATTTGCATAGGTTTCAAGCATGCCAACCACTAAAACACAAAGCTAATTCATGAAGTCTGTGGCAGAAATGTACTTTACGTGACTTTAATTGTTAGGATTTGAAGAATCTTGAAATTGATACACTTATTGAAAAAGCTTGTAATTATTCACAAGATTAACTTTTTATCGCCAGAAGAATTTTTAAAGGCTTCAGTAATACTCGCCATATTAGTCTCACATCTCACAATCATGCTTGCGTATCATAATATAATTCATAATATATCATCACACATACTATTTTTGTGTGTGCATTTTCAAAATGCGGGTATTATAACTGATTTTTTTCTGCGGAATGTTCTTGATCGTTTTGTCAGTGTCATCTAGTTCTGTGTATTTTACTGCATACGCACAAAATGCTGTAATAATAATAATAATCAAGTTTTCACTTACCGTCTATAATTAAGATTAGATCTACAAGCACAAAAGCAACTGATATTCACACCAATTTCACAGAAAATAAAGTGTAGGAAGCTGAACAAATTCAGTCATGAAGAGTAACTTACTACTGTAAATAGTAAACAATCACTTAAGAAAACGCACACCCTGAAGATATTAATAAAAGACCAGTAAGTTATAAATGAACGATAAAGAAATTAGACACTGGAAGAAGTGTGGACAGAATGATAAAGAGCGTAGTGAATATTATTCAAAATACAAATTAAATATACTGAAGGCTGACATGCATTAAATTCATCAGGAAATAGATACTATTATGTATTCCTAGGCGAACCAAATATTGATATAACTGCAGTGGATAAGCTCAGTTAAGAGTGCACTCATAATTTTCAAATAGAACTTAATGGCACTATGCGCAAAATTCATTTAAAAATTGCAGTCAACAGGAAGAAAGATTACTACTTTCTGCCGATTGCCCCCAACTATCTGCTATCACCAAATCAATGGGCCCCTTGATGGTGAGCTACCTAGAATGGTGGCCACATTGCAAACCTTACTGATAGAATTCAGTCTGAACCAAAGAAAGGACTAGACACGTCAAACTAGTTACTAGTGTCCAATCCAAATACCCACTACGGTCCTACAGGAGTTCAGTCGCGAGTCCGAATAGCTCGGAGGTAACGTCTCTAACTGCAGCACTGGGTCTCGCGGACTCGAATCTCAGAAGGGACATGAGTTCCTTCAAGGTTGCAGATACGCCTTGCTGACGAGTGCCAACTATCATGAAACCTAGGTCCAAGGCTTCCCGCCGATTGCCCCCAACTATCTAATATCAGTACTTTATATTTTTCTCTATCTATCACTTATCACTTCCAACATTTCCATCTTACATTTTCAGAGAAACATATCAGTGAGAGACAAATAGAACAAGGCGAATATTTACAACTTGCATTTTTAACACAAAATGAATTAACAAAAATTCATTCTTGAAGACAGATAAAAACTACAAAAGTGGAATTAAACTACCATCAGAATTAAGTGTCATAGTTTCCACAGGTTTCTTATTTAGCTTAGATTATCTACTCAAACACATGACTGTTACTTAGTTTACATTATTTAAACTCTATGGAATGGATTTCCTATATATAAGTAACAATAAAATAGACAGCAAAAGTAAGAAATTTGGTCATGTGGTTTATGGGTTTCCTCAGTTATCTAAGTAATGTTATATGGAGATATATTGTGAGATAATATAAAGACAAGGAACAATGAGACAACGGAAAAAACAAGTTGAGCTATAGCAAACGCATTATCTACAAGTTAATTTCACATTTAATTGAAAAAAGTGACAGAAAAAAGTAAAATATTCCTACTTAAGATAAACACCCAAAAAGACGCATTTGCTTCATACTTATCAACTGAATATACTTGTAGTCCAGTGATTATGTTTCCGTCTGCACGTTATCTAACCGTTCACTGCATTTAAGCAAAAAAAGTACTAATATTTTAGAAGGAACAAAAAGGCTTAGAAAGTGTTAATTCTGACCAATTTAGTAATTAACAGGCATAAACTTTTAACTGAAACAATGTAGCTGTATCACATCAAAATAATATAATGATAATGCACACAGTCTCAAATGCTGATAATATCCACAAAAAGCTATGATAAATTTTAAAAAATCAACTAAAAGTCGAGACAATTGATGTGGTGACTGGTTAACACGGAAACCTGATGACTGAATTTTCTCACATTTCTCAGTACATGAGTGAATAGGTCTCATAAATGCGTTTTTCTGAGAAACTACAGCTACGGCATGGCAGAAATTACTATCTAATTATGGGTAAGAGAAACCCTGTCAAGTGATTTCCCATAATGTTTCTTTGGGAAGTAATAAGGTGGTGAAACTTTTGCCACAACCTAAGAAAAGAGAAGTATCCCGGTAAGATTAAGAAGGCATAAAACACTTTAGATGGCATTAACTTACACTTACACCGAATCAACACATATAGTGTTGAAAGGACTTAGCTAAAACGCTTTTTGACCCTAATATTACCTGAAAATCATAAATAACAATATAATTTCATATCAGATAAGTTTATTTTAAATATCACACAGTGATTTAGTACGATCAACCGAATGGCATTTCGAGCATAAATTATTGCTCAAAATCATATCAATTTAGTCACACAATTTCACAATTTGTCTAACATACTTTTTTCTTTCTGTCTCTATAACTTCTCTTTGGTGTTTGCTGCCACTCTCCATATCTCCGGTATAGGGACGGCATCATTCCGACTGTACGTGTGCGGTGTTGAATCGATGAACCTCTCTGTTTTCAACTAATTATATTACTTTTTATTACTCTCAGTCTCTCCCACTCTATTGTGTGATTACATGCAAGTGAACACAGTGCTGAGCTTTTTCCTAAGTTATTTAACTTAGCAGGGTCATTTATTTAAGGTCTTGCTAAATTTTCAAGTTTCAGTAATCTAGTTGACTCTGATTTACCAATTTCACTTATGTAACGGACCTCACAATCCTTACATGGCATTTGGCAAATAATGTCATTTTTCTTAATTGAATCTATTGGGTCAATAAGCCGACAAAGTTTATTTCCGAGAGAGGTGGTTGGTTTAAATGCCACCTTAATTCCAGCCTTATCGAGAATCCAATGTAAGACCTCTGACGTTCCTTCTTCCTACGGCAGTACAACAGAGGCTTTGAATTCCATATTATTTTCATTATATTTATCAGTTTAACTGCTAATCTCAATTGCTTCATGGTTTTTCATATATTTTCGAATAAATTCTGGTGGGTGGTTATTCGGTAGTAATATTTCCTTTATTTGTTTGATTTCACTATTTAAATCTTCTGGTTTACTAGTTAGGCTCTTGGCCCAATTATACAGACACTAAACTAGACCCGTTTTACCTATTCTAATATGGAACTACACTACATCACAGTGCCCAAGTTCTACTTTTATATTAATAACAGTGTAGTTTCAGGTTTTATTGCGCACATGGATGGCATAGTAACACAACAAATCCTCAGAAGCAAACAGAAGTATTCAGCAGGAAGAACAACCATTAGAAATATTTCGATAACAACTAAGCTTCATAAGCCAGTTGTCTAAAAACTTGAAAAATCATTCTCGATAAAAGATAGGCTATCATGTCTATATTTGAAATCAGACAAACTTATCTAGTCGTTAACTCTACAGAAAATAAAATTATTCATTTCATGAAGTTTAAACTAATTGCTCGATCGCATTCAAATATGTCTGTTTAGTCGAACAAAAAATCGTCGACTTGTAAAGAAAACATTTCGATTCGAGCTTCATACCTGTTAATGCTCCTTCATAACGATCTTCATCCTCTAGTCAACTATGTATACAAACTTAGATTAGACATTCAAATTTGTTATCACCAAACACAATTATTGCTATTGCATACACTTGTTTCCTTCGTCTGCCTAATCAATGTCTATAGGCAAAACCAAGGCGTCTTTGCCTTTTCTTTACACTGAACACTCACGGTTCAAGGATATCTCTTCTAAATACTAGTAACTAGACATTAGTGCAACGGGAATAAACATGAGAATCGCAGTCACCGTGTAACAGATTCCACATCGAACAGAACGCTTAGCACATCACAAGTAAAAACAATCCATTTCGACTGTAGTCTGGGGGAAATAAAGCTGGAAGCTACATTTGTCTACCACCAAATACTTATCACCATCTCTCGTATCTACGTATACGAAAACTTGTTCAATCAAGCCAGCCAGTGACAAAGACTGACACCATAGTGATCCCTAAGATGTCGTGCATCGATAATACTAGTACTGTATACTTTTGTGTTCATCATAAATCTGATGAGTTGAAACAGAATATTGTCAATTTATTAGCGTGTAGTGAATAGTATTTGCTGTGTAAAGAGCTAAACTCACTTGTTCACAACTCATGGTATATTCATAATTTTTGAAATACAGATAATTTCAAGTCATACAATTCTAACTCGGTACTTACAAACTTTGAACTGTTTTATGTGCTGTTAGGAAATAACATTAACGTCCTAGATGCAGTGTTTATAAACAAAAGCTTCCAAATGAAAATCAGTTTCATGGTCGGTTTTTTGACGAACCATCAGTACCAAGGGAGTCACTGAAAAACAGGTAGTACCGTGCAGCTGTTTTAAATCATAGTTTTGGGTTCGTTAGCGTAACACATACACATGAAATCACCAGTAACTAGCTTCGAGTTTGAGGTCTAATGTGAACACTGAGACTATTGTTATTTATTTATCATTATTATCTTATTCCTTTACGTTCCAAGTAAAGCATAGGGGTTCAGACTGGAGCTTTGAAGTTTATTAACTTAACTATAACACCAAGGATTATGCAACATACATGATGTGAGCTAACTTTGCGTTCCCAGTGAAACTTAGGTCCTTTAAGCTTGAGGTTTGAAGTTTCAATAGGAAGGGTTTTTTCACCGGCTTAACCCCTGCCTGAGAGAGGTTTAGGAATTCGTCAGCTGAGCATCCATCCCCAGACCACGTGCGTGGTTGGCAAGCGTTCTACCGCTGAACCACCGACGGACTACTGGGTTTTGTACAATTGCGTGGGTGCACAACCGTCAGTCGATATTATTAAAATTCAGTATCCATTAGATTCAATAAAAAATGAAGATGGATTGACCATACTCTGAGGAAACCATCAAGTGACATCACTAGACAAGCCATTGCTCGAGTGGAACCCGAAATGGAAGCGGCGAGTTGGTCGTCAGTGCAAGGGTGACTTGGAGGAGGTCATGTGAAGAGGAGATGAAAGCGTGTGGGCAGACTTGGAGCTGGGTGAAAACTCTAGTAGAGAACCGAACGCAATGGAGACGCACAGCTGAAACCCTATGTTCCTCTAGGAATTAAAAGAAACAATAATAATAATTAGATTCAAGCTCAATTTCATAATGGCAATGTGTATACCTGTGAGAAACCACTTGCTAATATCAAAATGATTAACAATACTTTTTAGTTTTGAAATGGTTCCGCAGCAAATGTCGGTTGGAGAAAAAAATCAAATTCCTACTAGTGGAATACATGCCTAGGGTAAGCCATGTTACTGAAATCATTGAGTGAAATAAATAAAATCTAAACTGATTTATTTTAAATCATTTACTGAAGACACCTAAACAGCTTATTTTAGCATAGCCAGAGAGTGGAAAGCAAGGATTTTCAACGAGAGTCACAGAATTAGAAAAAGATGTATGCATGTGGGATTTCCTTCAAGCCTCTCATTGCTCCTAAGCTTTATATTCCGCCTACCACTAGATTCAAGTAAACATGAAATCTTGTTGTGACATTGGCAACAAAATAAGTGTGAAATATTAAAAACCGCAATCCAACACCTCAATAAAAACCCTATCAAATCTAGGCACGATAACAAAATATCGATGTGATGCTGATATTCACGAGTCATTTCCTTCAGTGGACAGTATCATTAATAAGTCATCTCTTCTTATGTCTCATTCAACATGTGTACATATTTATATATAATATGTCAAAATGATAACAAATTCACAAGCATGAGATGAAATATAGTAACAGAAATATGTGTCCTTAAAAACATTCACCTAACCTGTTACAGAGACATAACTCTGCTGGTTATTCTTCTTAATCTTTCATCTTCTTTTCCTCTACTTAGTAATTTAATCAACATCTCAACACCGAAAAGAGAATAGGGTGTTGAGAGTGATAAAACTTTCTTCCATTGACATAAACCCTAGACAGATCTGTATATTCATTTAGTTTTCATTTGCTCATCCATCATCAAACTGACAGTGAGGGAAGTATTCGAATACCGTGATGTTTCTGATTCAAAATCACTGGCATAAACATGAGTTCATTTATTCATTATGAGCGAGTCTCCCTTGGACTTTCTGTCCTACCTTCCTACTCTTATTTGTTTGGTAGTGCATGAAAGTGAAGGCTTTCTTAAATTATCTATATGTGCAATGTTGTTGCCAGTCGTGTTACCTCTGCTCACTGTGTTAACCATTGAAAACAGTTTTTACCACCTCAAATACCGAAGGGTTATCCAATGGGACACAAAACTTTTCCCTTTTGCAAGCAGTATTTTTTATTGTTACTGGATAGTATTATAATTTAAGTAAAATGTGGAGCATTTCCTGGGCTACGGGTTAACTGATTTAGAGAATTTTAAAGAGGACCAGATATATGTGATATAACAAACACATACGCCAAACAACCATTTAACGCAATTTAGTTATTTCTTCAGTCATTTTTTCTGATTTGCCAAATGGTGTACAGACACAATGAGATAATTAGCAATTATCATGACGAACAGGTGTCTAATATGTGTGTGTGGCAATGTGCAGTGGTGAACATAATCTAGTCTATGTGTCTAGGGTGTGAGGACTCAACTTTATGTGAACAAAGAGAAGACTCAGATCATGAAGATACCCAACCAACAACAACAAGCACCAATTACCATGACTGGGTGAGATCTAAAGGAAGGTGTTTCTTTCATTTACCTGGACAGACAGTATCGTTTCAACTACAGGCGGCACGGACGAAGGTGCCAGAGCAAACATTGGGTAAGTTAGACAGGTGTACATTACACTGAAGTCGCTGTGGAATCGAAAGCAATCAGCAGAATAAACAACATTTGCATTTTCGAGTCAGTGGGTCTATATGTTTTAGGAGCATGTCATGAGAGCCATGAAAAGAATTTTCAACAGGCTATTCCATTCTGCACTGGCTGGATACCGGAGATCAGATGTTCAACCGGCAAGCATAAGCAACAAGGAATTCTGGAAGCGTCGTAAACCAACCAACAAATATACAGGAGGAAATAGAGATCTATTTTATATGGGCTGAGGAGACCGTCTAATGACATCAAACACAATGGTCTTGGCTGCAATCAGAACAGGGAGTGATGGACTGGGTCTCCGAGGATGAGATAGGGGAATGATGTAAAGAGGAACTGAAGAATTGTGGGCAGTCGTGAAGCCATCTAAGAAAGACTGTAGAGAATAGAGTGAAGTGGATATGTGCTGCTGAAGCCCATTGTTTCACTCGGAACCCAAGGGATAATTAATGATCATAATAATGAAGTGAAGAAATAAATAATGATTAAATTCACCCCGCCGAATAATTTACTCACCATAACAAGCATTCAAAGGATTCATCCAGCTGTATCTTAACCCTTAGTTAAACTCAACTAATAAATACAGTTAAATCGGACAGCTCAAATCAAAAATTAGTATTTTATAATGCATTTGCAAGTCAGTTATTCAGTTAATCGACTGTAAATAAATAAAAATAATTAATGACAGTAAAAGGTTAGCTATTCCATCCAATAAAAACTTAAAGACAAAAATAAACAAAACAACCAAGAAGCCAATTAAATGAATGATCTTACACGTAAAATGTTTCATTCCATACAGGATTCAGTGTAGACCGACAGAGTTTCGTCTTAAGCTTGGATCTACCACTTTCATCACTCGGTAGAAGTTTGATTTTCACATATGGATCTGCTAAACCATTTGGGTCCATAGGGACAAGATTTTTCGCCTCAAAAACTAAAAATCAAAGTACAAAATGAAATATGTTAAAAGTGATGAACTTTCACACACTTTCACTGTGCATCACACGCATGCCAGTAATTATGTTTCCTACTAGTATCAGAAAATGATAAAGTTATACTCTAGAAATTTGTTTTGCTCCCAGCTTGATAAGGGAATTGTGAAGTTTCAAGGTTAAGAATAACTGAGTGACTTTTTTCTAATCTTAGAATCTTGGTTGTTTTTGTTTTGGCTACAGGAAGTTCCTTTCAGACAGCTGAGTAATTTTATCATGCCTTAAAATGTTTCCCAAGGAAGAGGACTCTTGCTGGAAATAAGTTAATTGATATAGCGGTCGAAATTTCACTTAGTTGCAAAATAAAAACGAGTTGGCCTTCTAAATATGCATATCTTCCAATGCATAACTTTACAGTCAATTATAAAATAGTCACACAAAGCCTACCTACTTCACTAACCTTAACTTTATCTTCAGTGGGCAACAGGATGTCTTTTTTTTACTATTCAAAACTCTGTCTGGCATATGACATTTTATTTCTGTGAGTGTGATTTGCAGTGAAACAGATGAATGATTATGTCATATATTGTAAATGTATAATACTTAATTTTTGAAAGTATAACAACATCAGTTTAAAAAGTGTGTTTACAAAAACCCTTTCAAATCTCTGTTGTAAACAGATAAGGCAAATGCTGAAAAATGTAGTAAAATTATATAGAACAGAGAATAGCAAACGAGATTTGCAGGTTTTTTAATCCACTGTCATCCATTATGTTAGGAACACGAGTTTCAAAATTCTTTATAGCCAGCCGGTATACTAAAACGAGGCAACAAATCCACTAATTATCAGTAGTCGATTTAAAAATTAAGTAAACAAAACAAACCTGTTGGACAATAATTTTCTGTTTGAAACCTAGTGACCTGAAACTTGACAAAATAAGACCATACGTTAAGTTTATTTCAGTATTAGAGATAAAGACATTCCCTGAATTTCAGTCGCAGTTGTTATTTACAGTGTTTATAAACACCTCCCCCTGGTAACCCTTATTGACTGAATTTCATAAATGTTAAGGTAGTACATTAATAAATGGAAGTGATGATAGTGATGAATAATGTATCAGTCTGGGAAGAATAGCGAGGAGACAGTCCAGAAGCCCTAACTGATAGAATTCAGACAACAGTCAGACTGTCACTCAACATTATCTGTCACCACTATATGTCAGATACCATATAAAAGTACTTGTCAAAAGTGTTGCTTACTAGAGAGAAAGTCATCAGACAAAATCTCGGCACAAGTAGCAAATTTGAAAGTGATTTCTAGAAGTTGTTAGAATGCGAGTATGTGGCTGATATCTTCCACTTCAATTTCTTCTACAACAGAACTTGGCTCCACAAAATTAAAAAACAAAATATTTGCCAACAGAACTGGAATCACAGAGAAACTACTTAATGCTGTTATTAAAGTATACGCCGCCTATTTCAAGCCCCAGAATTCTAAGGTGATAGACTGTGACTATATGGATTTGACTTACTAAAGGCAATAACCTTAGTTAAAGTCTAACTAGTACGTAGATTATTCGTCACTATACCATCAATTTACCTCATTATCTAAAATGCAGAAACTTTATGTATATATACATATATATGGCAGACGAAATGTGACAGACACTGTGATTCAGACTTTAAGTTTGATTCTCAGAACGAAAATGCTATCCAAACACCACTAAATAGTTAAAATCCATGAATGAAGAGTTTGATTTTAGTCAGCTTTCGATTCCATATTTTCTGCTAAGCTGAGGCAAAATCTGAGAAATTGAATAAATGAAATATCCATTTGAAGGGCCTTTGGAAAATAGAGTAGTTATAAAACATCCAGAAATCTTGAGGTTTCAAATGATTCTGCTGCCTGAACTGAGGCCCACCGAATTCACCTATGATGAGCTCGGCCACAAATGAATAAAACGGCCGTCCCACGTTTGCATCAATTCGATAATTTGGTTAGCAAGCTTCACTGGTTGATTAGAGTGGCATACAAATACTTATCTCAATCAGCCAGTAGAATACAGTTTTACACATAGTTTTAAACCAGCGATGCCTCAGCCTATCACATTCGAAACAAATGATTCATTTATTCTTCAGAAAATAATAATAATAAGATCTTAGCACAGAATTCAGTTATCTCGTGTCTAGAAATCACTCATATAATGTGGGTTGCTATTCCCATTATATATTAGGAAAACATTTGAGAGTAGAACATTAATTTTGAGTAACTTTAACTAGTCTTATTGGCCAACTATTAAATTACTGTTTAAAACTAAAAACAAGTGTAATAGCAGTTTCCTAAGTAATCTGGAGAGAATGTCGTATCACGATATAAAAATATTCAATTATTAGTGTTTGAAGTACATCATGAATTTTAAAAAGTAATATTTAGGGAGACTTTCGAATGGTCACTGCGAAGCAGGTGAGATAAGATATTATTACTTAATAGCAAAATACAACAGAGATTGATTGTTCATTGCAGTAAACATTCTTACTTTATTAAGTACAGCTTAGGAATACTACTATTAGTCTGCCGAAACGCTGATAGTGAAAAAGGTGAAGGACACTTTCACTTGCTATAAACCATAATGAAGTAAAATGTGAACATATTGTAGGTAGTCATTAAATTGCATTTCTGCTAAACTAGAAAAGCGCAATCTGATCAAAACTTAGCAGTGAACATAAATAATATATAGCATGTCAACACCCTATTCTTTGAACAACATCTGGATGACAAAGATAAAATAACAGCTAGCGAGGCTAACAGGATAAAGACACCAACCCATGATGAGGCCACACACATAGACAAGCTTTCGTTCAAATTGTATATCATGTTAATTAGGTGCTAATATATATATCAACTTTAATAAATAGATGCCATATGCATGGTAAATTTTTTTGTGGGAATTCTTTTCATTTACTCGGAATCTAATTTAATTTGAAAAATATGTGTGGAAACGTGTGACGTCATGAAAGTGACTGACTTTTATATCCATATTCAAAAAACGCGCATGAGGAGCTACAATTTAGTGTTTATCTGCAATTGCCTTCCCGGACAAATTTCATTCAATCTTATCACTTTTATGGAAGTAAACATTCTTACTTTTAATCTTTTTAGAGTTGGTTCTACCTTTGGGAAAGGTTCGATGATGTCGGCATACCTATTAACCAGATTCGTAATAAACCTGAATTTGTTTGTACTAATAGCTATTTTATGTAAAAGAAGATAAGTAACAAAAAACAATGGCTGCCTTCCTTGCTTAGAAGGTAGTGCTACTTTTGGAGTTAATGTAATTCTTTATTCTTACCAATTAGACATGCAAGCAATTACAAACAGACAGTGGGTGAAGGCAGAGAAAATAATACATAGAAGGATTTTGTGTCATAATAGTCCCAGGGTTATTTCTAGAGTTTCATGAGATTAAAGTGTGTAATAATGGATTAAGGAGTAAAGCGTTATACAATTTAAATTCAACAGCATTGAACAAATCTGTGAATTGATGATGAAGAGTTACATTATGGTGCAAGTTATGACGTCCATCTATGTGCTGAAGGAGGATATATGGGAAAAAAGCCAAGGAAGGTCAAACAAAGAATTGGCATGGATGATATCTGTTATATGTTAGTCAAAGATCATTTGTTGATTTCGTGTTTCAAGCAAACACAGACATTGAGTGTTGATTTATAAGATATCAGGAATCAAAGGAATCAAATGATTCATCAAAAGAATTCACTGCTTCAGTGTGAAATATTGTATCTGTAATATCGATGAAATCAATTGAGTCCACAATTTCATTAAATTAGCAAAAAATATCAAAGTAAGTAATGTCTGTAAAGTCAATTCAGGTGAGAAAACTGTCGATACAGGCTTTAAAGTATAAGCACTTATAATATCACGAATATCAGCAAAGACAAGTAAAAAACTGAAAATATTGACAGAAATCCAATATTAGTCTCTAGTATGAAAAAAAAACTCGGAAAAAAACAGTCATTTACATTTCATAATTATTGAACAAAAAAAGTAAAGCTAGTAACTCAGATAAACTGAGCATCTGTTAATTATATCTGAAACTTTATTCTAATCGTACAATCTAGAGTGCTGACAAGATTAAGGTAAAGCCTCAACACTTCGCTATATCCTCCTTTATGGCTGTGAGCGAGACATAGCCATTAAAAGTGGAAGATATGAGAAGGCTAGTTGTCTTTGACCGTGTGTGCCTGCGTTCTGTCTCCCGTGTGAAATGGCATATTAGAGTGAGCAATATTGAGGTTAGGCATCGGTCGAGTGCTAGGTAAGGAGAGGAAATCAATATACGAGGCTGTGACGTTACACCGGTTGAGATGGGTAGGACATGTGTTACGCATGCCTAGTCATCGCCTTCCTCGACGGGCAATGTGAACTGACATAGGGTCAGGTTGGAAAAGAGTCAGTGGTGGTCAAACCAAAACATGGCCTCATCAGTCAACGAAATCCACAACAGTTATTTCAAGCCACGTATGAAGATGTAGACTTTCTGGTTGGGCCACTCGTGTTGGTGAAAACCTATGGCTGGAGACAATTGGTGATATGGCCCAAAATTATTACTAATGATGGCGCAGATGCGTTCAATCTTTTTGACTTATTCTTTCCAATAAAACTCTACTGTTCTTCCAATATTAGCATTATTTTTACCTCGCTCACATTCCTGTTTATTATCTCTCTTTTGAACCCCTCGCCACCCACTTCTCTTGCTTTGTGGGCTACATGGAGTCTGGTAACTCGAACTGCTGTACATCTGTACAAAATTCTACGTTGAAACCAGTCAATCTGTCTTACGTTGGTCTATAATTCCTTAAATCTACATTGAGTTTTCGTGCTTGTTGTCAGCAGTGAATGAGAGCACTGGTCTTATCTAATGAACTTTTCAGGTTAAGAAAATTGGTGAAATCATACACTAGAAAATTGAAGTGTAAATAAGAA